CTCGAAACCCTGACAGACAGACTGGCTACCATCTCGTGAAAGTCCCTACACCAGCATCTACACTGCTAAACCACTCCTGGATTCTTTTTTCCCCAAGAATTCTGTGCAATAATAAATATATTTTTATTTTAAGCAACTAAGAATTGAAATGATTTGTTATACAGACATGGATTACTAATACAGGGATGTGGGCAGAAATGAAGACTGGTGATATTTGGACTCATAGTTTCTGAAGTGTTGACAGTGTCTGCAGATATATCTTGACAGAAGGGAATATATATATATATCAATATCTATTTGTCAATCAATTTAGTATGCATGTGTATTCATGTGGGGTACACGTATGCATGGTATATGCTCACGCATGCCTGTAGGCACTCACTACATGATCTGAGGCCAGAGGAAGGACATCAGTGTCTTCTATCACTTTCCTCTCTATTACTTTGATGAAATGTCTCTCCCCAAATCTGGGGCTTGAACCTTTTTTTAAAGCTGGTAACTAGTGAGCTCTGGCAACCCTCTCATCTTCACCTTGCCCAGTGCCGGGGTTGCTGGTACATGTGGGATCTTGCACAGGTAGATATAATATTGAGATTCAAACTGCACTCTTAATGGCTGTGCCATCTCTCTAGTCCCAGGAATTATCTCTTGGCCTTAGTTTCTAATATATTAGGACTGGCCCTGTGGATAGCAGAATCTTAGTAAATGTCCACCGAGTCATTGAGTGGAGAAGAGCAGGCCTAAATCCTACAGAGGTAATGGAAGCCCAACCATGGGCATGGGAAGAAGAGGACAAAGGGAGCCTAGTATAAGGTGTATGTCTGTCTAAAAAGAACCACTGTTCTGGTTCACACTGACTGAAGGGAAGGGTGCCCCGAAAAGGGGAACATTCACGGCTACAGTCAGGGCAGTGAAGAAAAGAATTCTTTTCAGAAAAACAGAGAAAAGACTGGGAGAACCCAGGGAGGGACACCTCATGCATCTTCGAATATGGACGCTTACTTCATTTGCTATTTCCTTTGAGTTTTGTTTCTATTACACCCTAAGTCCCACCACCTTGAGAGTAGTGATAGGAAGTCACCTTGATGACAGGAGGAGGAACTTGACCTCCTGATAAAACTCACTGTTCGCTGAGCACTTGTGTAAGCATAATGCCTCTGTAGCTTTCCCTAGAGCAGTAGCCTTAAAGAGCATCGCAGTATCTCCCAAGTTCTTCCTCCTTCGCCTGGTGATAGCCCAGCCAGCCAGCAGTAAACGCGCATTAGTGGCTGTTACAGGTAGGTCACGATCATGTATGCTCTATGATTTTTTTCTGGTTAGATTCTATTTCTTTCCGATGTAAAAGCTCACACAACAGCTGCCGCGGCTGTTTTTGTCACCCCGATTTCTTGGTTTTACTAGCAATAGCAGCCATTTACAGAGTGCTAGGTACTTTACTTTATTATCTGATTTAACCTCTGCAACAGCCTTTCGATGCAAAGAGTACCAAACTCTACAACTGGAAAAAGATGACCTGAGCGGTGTTCTGTTTGGACCTCAGTTCATGAAGCCAATCAGTTTCCTGGTAATGCAGGAGTGTTTCTCGAAAGCCTGCCCTCCACTGCTGTACTGGACATCTCGTCATAATTGTTCCTGTGACGTTTTACAGGCATCCTCGGTCTTCCAGGGCAAAGAACTTGGAGACGCAAAGGTAGGACCAATGGCAGGAGGTAATGAGGACCACACCATGCTACTCCAAGACCCGGTTGTCTTCTAGCCAGGGACATTTTAAAAATGGGAGGATTCCAGATTGACAAGATCACCAGGTGGCTTGGAAGCACAGCAGAGTCTGAGGGGTCCCACCACAAATCTGAGGATACTTTTACCCCAGTCAGTGTACTTCTCTAGCATGGAGCTGCTCTAGTGGTAATCCCCAAGTCAGCCGATTCACCTGGGAACAACCTGACTGCAATGCAAACTCTGGAGCCCACCCGAGCCTACTGACGCAGCCCCGCTGGGTCTATCTTCAAGTGATGCTAATGAATTCGAAGGTTTGAAGATTCGAATTGGAAGTCCTTGCAATCCTCACACTTCCGCTCACCTGAGAAAGAGGAGCAAAAAGTGATAGCCTGTGGGCCCAAAGTCTGCTGTCCTGTGAGCTCACCTGCACTTGTGAGCTCACCTGCCCTGGTGGAATAAAAAAAAAATCTGTCCTCTTAGTTCTTTGTATTAAAAATACAAAGCTACCCCTTCCCACCCGGGCCCCAAGAATTGGAGTCTATGTCAATGTGGGTCATGCAGACTAGATTTTTTAGGCCAGCACATTTATTCATCCATCTAGGACCAGGTGTAAAAGGGTTGTGATGGAGGTGGCACCACAGACACAAACATGAAACGGGCTCCCGAGATACCTAGTAAATTTGGTTGTAACAGAACGGGCTGTTGTCGGAGGTTGGCTGTGTAACCGTTATTTCCCCAAAGCCCCCCAATCCTTAAGAGCTTAGGATGTATTTGCTCTTACAGTCTTATTAAAAAAGGAGTGAGAAGACTGTAGTTTATATTCCTAACCATCTAGGAACTTCTTAAAACAATCCCCAAGAATAATCATTAAAGCCACGCTGGGGCTGGGGGTATGGCTCAGTCAGTAAAGTGCCCACAGTGAGGACCTGGTTTTGGATCTCCAGTGCCCATGGTTTTTTTTTGTTTTGTTTTGTTTTTTTTTGTTTTTTGTTTTTTTAAAAAAGCTGATCAGCTCCTCAGGAATGACACTGGAGAATGACCTCTGGCTTCCACATGCACATATGTGAACATGCACCTGCACAAGTATGTGAATGCACATGGACACGCTCCCACATACACACTAAAAATAGTATCATTTTAACTATAGAATAAAGATGCTTTCAATGGGGGGAGCTAGACACTAGAGAATCCCAGAGACCTGCATCTGAGGGAGGGGCATGTTTAACAACTACTTCAAACAGATTTTGCACACATTCATTTTGGGAACTATGGTGCTATCATACTGTATCCCCACAAACTACTGCTCCTTAAGCGATTATAGCTCTTGTCGGGAACGGACTAGCATCAGAGATTTGGGAAGAGAGCTATATGGACAGGATCAGGCAGTATTTTAGAGATATTCTTGTGTTGGCAGAAAGAATGGATTTGAAGAAGCTCTTGGTGGTAAAGGTTGATGGTCTTACCGGGAATAAAATAAAAAACAACAGAGATACCATGCTAAGCTCCAGGTGCCAAGTGGTGGTCTATATTCAGTCCCGAAGACACTCACCCACTGCATAGAGAGCCTCAAGTTCTTCCCTTGGGCAAATTCAGGTTTTACAGCCCTATGGAATCTGAGCTAGAAATCTCGAACTAGTTGTAATTGCTTAGGTAATTTTAGAGATAAACATAGAGCCGGAAACAACACCTTCAAATACTTTACATATTACTTAGAACCCATTTCAACCAGGCAGATTCTAAGTTCTCTCTGCCACTTTTAGTTTCCAGGTTGTCGCTGTCACTTTAAAACGCTCAGCTTTTGCATTTCCAACCTAAAAACCCACAGCTATTTTTGCCTTGGTTATGCAAGCTGCGTTGTGCCCCCTGGTGGCAATCTGGATTGGAAGATGAGAAGCATATTTCAATCAGAGGGAGAGGGCCGACTTAATTGAAAAAGGTGGCAGGCCTGAATTTGAAATGGAATTTCATATCAAACTTTTCTGTTCTTACTAAAAATAGGAAACATCCTGTTAAAACTCAAATCCGATGTATTAACTTCAGCCTGCGAGGTGCATATTTCAGCTCCCTGGCTTTGTCACAAAATGGATTAGCTTCTTGAAATATGTCAGTTCAACGTGAAATTAAATATTTGCTCTCCATCCAGCTAAGGAGCTGAGCACAGAGGACTGCAGTCTGGCAGCAAAGCCTTTCCTCTGCCATCAGGGCAGCACGTGCCACAGACACGTGATGTCACCTGCTCCTTCGGGGTACGCAACGCCCCATATTACAAAACCAGCTGGACACCAACAGTGCCATTTTCAAGACAGCTCCAGGAAAAAATCTCTAAATTTTAGAGCTTATTCTTCAATCAGAAGAGCCAAATGGATTTGAGTAGATTATGATGAGGGCTTCTGATTAAATTTTAACTGTTTAGGGGCAAAAAGGGATGATTAAAGATAGTTACTAGAAAATGCATTTGGTAGGAGGAAGTGTCAGAGTGCTTCCTGCTATACAGACAAGCCTGCTGCAGCGGCTGTATTATTTGGTCACAAAAACCAAAAATGACTTCTTCCCTAAGTCAACACTCAAGTGATGGGCAAGTACATAAATGGTACAACGCTGAATTTGAAATGTTAAAACAGAGAAGTCACAAGCCTCCACAACACAGGGCAGCCATGTTGGAAATGGGTATAAGACACTACATAGAACAAATGTTACAGAAAAAAAGAAAGGAAAAATTGAAAGCTACAAAAAGCAAAGTGGGCCAGTGAGATGGCTCAGCAAGGAGGGGCTTGCCACCAAGCCTGATGACCTGAGTTCGCTTCCTTGGTCTCACATAGTGGGAAGCAAGAATCAACTCTACCAAGTTGTCCTCTGTCTTTACATGTGCACTGTGCCCCCCCCCATATACAAATAAATAAATGTAATTAAAATTTTAGGGACTTGGAGGGGATGGCTCAGTGGATAAGAGCCCTTACTGCTCTTACGGAGATCCTGATTTTAGTTCCCAGCATCCACACTGGCAGCCCCAGATTATCTGACACCTGAACTCAAAAGCATGTATCTACATAACTTAAAATAATAAAAATACTTTTAAAAAATATTATGTCTCAGTTTGGACTAAGGCTGAAAGATGAATGCTTTCCAGCAGAAGCAGGTAAAGCTGCAATAAACCATGCATAGAAGCATGCAAGCCCGTGGAAGTGTAGTGGACTCAGGGAGCTGGAGGGTCCCTGCATTGCCTGAGGACAGTTCAAACAGGATTCAGAAAGACTTCATTCCAAAAGGTCTTGAAGCTCATTCAAGTTTATTCATGGTATAAGTGAAAGGTTAAAAAAAAAAAATACTTAACAGTTCTGCTTATGACATAGCTTAATCCTAAAACCTTAGTTGTCATTTAACAACGTGTGCTTAGGAAAAGTCACACCAACCAAAAGAATGCCTTCATTTTACCTTTGAATATCAATTACTAGACCTCTTGCCTATTGGATACTGAACAATTTCTCAAAATTCTATCTATTAAGTATTTCTGCCTTTATTTGCTATCCTATTATTTTTGGTATCTAAAACACAAAGAAAAAACACAGGGAGCACACCAGCCTATAAAAGCACAGCAAAGGGAAACGGGAACCAACGGTGGGTGACCAGGTGACCGGGTAAGTTAGCGGACGTGCTGGTACTTCTATCGGTATTGCTGTAACTACGCCAAAGGGAAACGGGAACCAGCGATGACCAGGTGACCGGGTAAGTTAGCGGACGTGCTGGTACTTCTATCGGTATTGCTGTAACTACACTGCCGGGAAGGCGGTGTACTGGAGGGCTGGCTGCCTGTGTGGATCAAGGCCGCACTCGGAACATCCTCTTCTTCAGCTCGGCAGTCTTCTCTTCTGTTCTAGTGCAGCACTCCTCCGTGGTCTTCTCAATGCTCTCATGGTACTTCTCCAGAGCGCTTTTCAAGTTGACAAAGATTTCCTAAGGACAAATGACAAAGAATTACTCTGAGTCACAGCCAGGCCTAACACTGAGTTGCAAATGTTTCAACTGGCCATTCCAGATTAGTTCTGACACAAGGCTGGGAGAGGCTACAGCTGAGAGAGACCATGAACCACCAAGAAAACCAAAGTTTCCAAAAGCTTTATTTCTTAAATCTTACAAGAAAAATCAGGTGAATTAGTGACTAGCTTGTGTGAATGCTATTTTAAATAATCAGCACATTCAATGGCTACAGATCAACTTAAGTTTCCAGCTCCACTGGGCTACATGTTTATTTCCATGAACAAGAAAGCTGAGATACCGCTTTGGAGAAACCATCAAAACCAAGTGTGGCTAAAATAAAAAATAAATAAACACATCCTGCAAATCCACAGCCAAACATTTCAATACACTAAAACAATGCTTTTCTCCTGAGAATAAACACACTCCCCAGGAGGAATTAGTCTCACTGATACAGCCACTAGAAAAAGAACAGGAAGCCCAAACCCAGCAGCGCCCCCATCAGAAGCAAACACATAGCCAAGGTCCTGAGCAAACTGTCAAACTGAGCTACGCATTTTAGAATAGCCAATGAAAGTCTATACACAAGTGGAGGTTTATACTAGTTCAGTACAGCTCGCAAATAAGAAGTCTTACTGGGAAGTCAAATACTTGGAAAGTCAACACACAGGGCTGGGGATATAAAGCAAAACCTAAGGCTAGCCCAGTGCTGTTCAACACAGAAGCACTAGCCATATGCCACCATTTAAATGTGTAAGAATTCAGATCAAATTCAAACTTCCATTAGCCCCTCAGTTGTACTAGACACATGTCAAGGGCTCAAGGCCACAGTGCCTACCTACCCAGTAGCTACAGGACTGAGCATGACTCTAGCCATGTTTTATGTGACAGTATTGGTCTGATTATCTCATTTTTGAAATTTGAGAAATTTAAAAATTATACAATATCCATGGATTTTTACACCCAGCATCACATTGTTCCCACAAGTATTTTAATTCATCAATCAAAAACATATTTTGGGGTGGGGAGACTGGAGAGATAGCTCAGTAGTTAAGAGTGCTGGCTGTTCCTACAGAGGTCCTGAGTTCAATTCCTAGCATGGCTCACAACCATTTGTAATGAAATCTGGCTCCCTCTTCTGGCCTGCAAGCATACATGCACACAGAATACTGTATACATAATTAAATAAATCTTTAAAATAAAATATAGATATATTGTTGGCTATTTTTGTGAGTAACCTGTGAAGAGAAAAGTGAAGATGAAATCACTCTCCCCGCACAGCAACACAGACTACACTAAATACTGAGCACTGGAAACAGGGCACATGCAGGCCAGGGATACCCATGGATAGAATTAGCATTTTGCTACAATTCACAAGACTTACAAAATTATGTTATGAATGTGTGAATAAAATGAATAGTATCACTGAGGAAAAAGAAATCCTGAAATTAACTTTGTGAGTCTGAAGGCCAGGGTTATCTCCAGCAAGTCTAAAATGTCAATTCCTTGTGATATAAAATGATGAAGAGAAATATAAAAAAAAATGTCATCTTAGAAATACAGCAAATACTCTAAAAGAAATTAATGAAAATATTGAACAGAGGAGATGAAGTGGGGAGGAGGGGCGAAGGGAGAAGAAGAGGAGAGATGGGGACGATTTTGAATTTTATGTCATTTTTGCTGTGACTGGAACAGGAAACAGATCTGTAAAGCTAACCAAATGGAGGTACTAGAAGCTAGAAGCAGGTGAATTACCTATGTGAGGGAACATTTAAAGCAGAGTCAGTGATAACTAGGGTCCGGCAGCCCTGTGTGAAGGCCACTTGGACAATCTGTCATCTTTCCTCTTTGTGAAGGCGGGCTATGAGAAGAACTAGAGAATCCTTTGAGCAAAGGTACATGAGTTCACCCACGTATTTACAGTCATTCTCGGGCTGCTGAGGACCAACTGGACATCAGCAGACTGGGTAAGAGGAGGATAACACAGCAAGCTGAACAACTGTGTCTGGAGCTCTGATAATAATGCTGCACGCTCTGAGGGAGTGTTACAATGCAGCCAGAGTCCAGTTCCACTCAATGCCTTTTTTCGTCCTGGGGAAAAGGCATGCTGCTCAAATCTGCTGCCAACACCACACAATGAGAAATAATCGGTGTGGACGAGATTTAAACTGATCTTGGCATTTTGACAATCTAGGTTGAAAAGAAACACAATTAAGGCTACAAGATATAACAGTAAGATCCTGAATTGAGAGCAATCATTTCATCACAGGATGGTAGAGTGAAAAAAACAACTTGGCAGAGCTGCACGTGAAGAAGGTGTAGTCTTTAACTGACCAAAGTTTGAGCACAAAGAGAAGGCGAGACCCTGCTGCTGACACCCCAGCCCCCAAACAAGGCTTTGTAAACAGAGGCACTGTGCTTCTGGGGCCGCAGCAGTACTTGGGAAGGCTGTGCTAAGTAGTAGGTCCTACACTTCAAAGAAAATAATGACAGGTAAGAAACATAACAATCAACAGGGATAACAGTGAACCTGAAAATTAGGCAGGTAAAGAATGGCTGGACAAGCCGGGCGGTGGTGGCGCACGCCTTTAATCCCAGCACTCAGGAGGCAGAGCCAGGCGGATCTCTGTGAGTTCGAGGCCAGCCTGGACTACCAAGTGAGTTCCAGGAAAAGGCACAAAGCTACACAGAGAAACCCTGTCTCGAAAAACCAAAAAAAAAAAAAAAAAAAAAAAGAATGGCTGGACAGCTGAGGGTACTACACCCAGAAGGGAGAAGACAGAAGGACACAGGACTACCTTAGGGGCTAGTCAATAGAACAGGTACAGATTAGTCCAGAGGGAAAAGCCCAGTCCACCCGAGTCCGGACACTGAATACTTTAAATTCAGAATGGGAAATAACATTTTAACAACTGCAGCTGTAGTAGAACAGCTTGTGTGGTTATGAGCTCCATCCACAGAAAACAATCACAATTACACAGAGCCCGTCAGTGGCTCTCAAATGCCATCCTGTTCTAGAGATAAACAGACAATTCAATTAAGAGATGAGACCTATTGTGGAGATTCTAATTCAATGTATTTGGGAGGGGACTCGGTCATTTCAAAACCCCTCACTGAATTCTAAATACAGCTAGTTTGAGGACACAGTGCTCAAGGCCCTCTCAACATTACAAATATTTATGGAAAGCAGACTATACCCAAGGCTGCTCTAGGAATGGATTCACACGCCACACTAAGAGTTAAAGAACAACTGGTATTGGCAGGGAATGTCTAATAGTATTGATGAGACACATGTGCACAGAGCCAACAGAAATATAAGGTAGCCGGAGCATCTTTTGTGACTGACAAAAAGAGTTCAAATTCCAGCCAGTTCTTAGTTTTAATCTGCTAATAACCAGTTCATTAACTACACCTAGAGCATGTGATAGCAGTCTCTGATTTCTTTAAGAACGTAGGATGAAGTATCTCAAGTCTCCTTTGTATTAGGATCTTTGCAGACTGAATGGACAGAGAGTTCAGCTATCACAAACCAGGAAGTTTCAGAAGCAGGAAGATGGAGATGAATGAAAAAAATCGCCTAAGATTCTGAAGGAAGAGCTGTAGCTATTTCGGGTAGCTTTCGGTAAAAACGTTTTTAGAGGCATAACTTAAAAATCCTGAGTAAAGTCCATCTACTTAGGACTTCACAACTGTTTATTAAGCAACTGCTTCTACTCCAAGGGATGATAATCTGTGATGCGCTAAAAGCCAAGTGAGAAAGAGGCACAGGAGATGCGTGTCTGCTGATTATGAAATGGTACCCAGAGTGGAGCTACAAACGGACAAAGGGCCCGTGGAGTCAAGTTCTGCTCCAGAGAACTCCAAGCCCTGTCATGGGTGACATTACTTACGTTCTAAACTCATGGACTCTACGTCCTAGGAGCACGTACCTGAGACTTCAGTTTCTCCCTTTTCTCGGTATCTTTTAGTTGCTGAATCCCAGATTTAATCTTCTGGATCTCTTGATTAATGGTGGTTACCTGCTCACAGACAGCATCTCTTTTTCCCTGAACTTTATTGCAATCTCTAAAGGGAAACAGAGACACCTGATGTAACTTCTCTTGAGCATTTAAAAACCAAAGACGCTAGCAGTGAACCCAGAGCCATCACCTGTCAGTTCCTGCTCAACAAGCCTAGAACTCATTCAGATATAAAAGCAAGTAGACAAACCCCACAAAACCCCACACAGTGTGGTGCACTATACTTACACCATGGCGTATGGAACTACTTCACTCAAGAGCCACCCTTTTCCTTTCCTTACTTTGCAGAGCTGCAGATCAAAGCCAGAGCCTGGCACATGCTGGGCAAGTGCTCCACCACTAATCGACACTTCAACCCTCACACCCTATTCTTTAAAACAAAGGCCCAGCTACAGCGCCTCAGTGTGCACGTCTATGCACTGTCAGTGCAAATGGGGATTAGTACAACTTTTCTGCACATCCAACAACTAATACACAATCCTCAGGTTCTGTCTTTTCATCTGCATGAAAATACTCAGTCCCAATGCCGCGTATAAAGGACTAAAGGAAATGACACCGTAAACCTACCTGTGGCATGTGATACAAAGGCACAGTCCTAAGACTGACAAGGAGACTCTACTGGCGAAATACCTCAGCATGCTAGCAGAAGAACTTAGCATTATTTTTTACCTGACTAGTATTAACATTTCCTTTTCAAATGTTAGGTCACTATGTCTCACATGCACTGAAATAAACACTACTACCACAACCCCTTTAAAGATTAACACAAAGAGATTGGAACTGTGTGCTTCAAAAGGCAACAAGCAGAAAAACACCAAATAAACAAATAAATGAAACAGCTCGAGGTCTTATTTCTACAGACAGAATTATATCTATATATCTATATCTATAGATATATAAATATATCTCAGTCACTAGAGGCAGAATTCTGTCCCGAAAACACAGGAGCTTGGAAAGCCTATCCGCTCTTCCCAGTGCGTCCTAACCCACTGGACTGATATCAAGCTCCTACTCGATCACTGTCCGTTTGTACTGCTTCACGTCTTCCTGCTTCTTGTTTATCTTGAAACGTGTGGTGGCAAGCTTCTCCTTCTTCACAGTCACCAGTCTTTTGAGTGAGTTTTCTTCAGTCTTCAGTTTCTTTAGTTCTGATGAATCACTTTCAATCTGGTCCTCCAAGTTCAAGCACTGTTTTATGAAGAATATTTAAAGTCATTTCAACCAAACAGGACTTATAAACAAAACCAAAGGGCTTTCTAGGGTGAGCTAGAAAAAAACAAAACAAAACAACAACAACAACAACAAAAACACAGTTTTGAAACAGAGTAAGTCTTCAGGCTCTGAAAGCTCAGTAGAAAACCACAACTGTCCAAGGGGAAACAGCCCAGTGAGCAGAGAGAAGATGCCCCTGCTTGTCTGCCAGGACTGATGAGGGACAGGCACACAACAGCCAGGCCCTGCAGCTGAGTGCTGGCATGGGAAGATTCTACCTTTAGTAGCAGAGAGAAGGGCAGAGGCAGACCTCAGAACCAAAAGCAGATCTGTCCTGTGACCCCGGATGGTAGACACACAGGTACAGCGACGGGAACTAAGTCGGGACTCTGCCACAGATGATGAGTGATTATATCCGTTAGGACAAGCTAAAACACTCACTACTATATTTCAAAATACATACCACCACGTGCCATGTTGATTTATTATTCATTTCATCTAAGGTTAAAATAAGTCCTGACATCCGATGTTTAGGGGAAGATGACTTACTCCTCAGCACGTACTACACTACATAACAAGCCAGTGTTTTAGGGAGGCAGTAACAAAGGGTGAAAGGGAACCCAAATCTGCTACATCCCTTCACATATGACGACAGAAACCCCACACAACACAAACCTCCTTCAAGATGCTGCTCAGTTTCTCCCTGTTATCTGCAAGGTCCTGGATTTTCTTTTGATATAACTGCACCTCCAGCTGACAGGAAGGCAGGCAATCCACAGAGTCTCTATAGAGTTCATACTTCTCCATCACTTCTTGCTTTGGGAGGGAAAAAAAAAGACCAGTTTGATATTCTCTTTTATGAAACCAAAAGGTCAATTCGTTTGCTCTTCAATAATTTCTGCATTCACTACTGAAAGCTCAAGAATGCATAACAATTAAGTCCCTAGGTCAGTAGCAAGGCACTACTACCGACATGTGTCAAACACATAACAAGGCCTCTTTTAAAGCATTTTACTTATTTATTTTATGAGTATGAGAGTTTGGCCTGCGTATTTGTCTATGCACATGTGCATGCCTAGTGCCCAGACTAGACAAGGGCAATGGATCCTCTAGGACTGGAGTTAGAGACAGTTGTGAGCTGCCATGCAAGTGCTGGGAATCGAACCCATCTCCTCTGGAAAAGCAGCCAGTGCTTTTAACCACTGAGCCATCTCTCCACACACCTAAAGATGCTTTTAAAACTCCAAATATCCATAACTAAGAAAACTGGCACTACTTACTACCTGACCATTCCGTGATAATTTTCCAAAGATTCTTTATGTTTGTAGGAAAGAGCTCACTCTGGTTGGGCACAGCTTAACTTGCAAATGCTTGCCTAGTGCCTACAAAGCCCTGTGGTTTTCTGCTAATTCTCAAACTACTTCTGAATACTACAGGGAAGTCATATTATCTATTAATAATCTTCCTGTTTGTTTACATAACTATGATTAGCATTCGATTCTTTAAAAAGATAATCACTTTTAAAACACAATTTACTCAAACCACATACCATTGCAGACATCTTTCCTTCTCCCTAGTAAGCTACTCCCTGCCTTACCTTATTAAACAGTTACATTTCTCCTCAGAAAAGACTTGATTATATTGCTCATCTTTCATTTCTAATTTTTTATGAATTTGTAAAGTCTTTGCATATAGTGCATCGAATCTTGCCTTCAAGTCTTAGTTTGCTTCCTGTTGCTGTGATGAAGACCATGGTCAAAAGGAACCTGTCTAGAGAGATGGCTCAGTAGTGAAGAGCACCAGTTCTTCCATAGGAACTGCTTTAATTCCCACAGCCACATGGTGACTGCCAACTGTCTGTAATGTCAATCCCAACTGTCTGTAATGTCAATCCCAGGGGATCTGAGGCCCTCTTTTGGCATCCAAAGGCACCAGGCCCACACAGTTCATGGAGATATATGCAGGCAAAACACCCACACACACAAAATAAAAACAAACAAACAATAAATTTTTAAATGCAACCTGGGGAGGAGAGGGTTTATTTTAGCTTACATCTTACAGTCCACCATGAAGAAAAGTCAGGGCAGGAACTCAAGGCAAGAACCTGGAGGCAGGAACTGAAGGAGAGGCCATAGAACACTGCTTACTGGCTTATTCAGTCTGCTTTCTTATAGAACCCGGTAACTATCTGCCTAGGGCTAGCACAGCCCACAGGGAGTTTGGACCCTCCAACATCCATCATTAGTGAAAAAAATGTCCCATAGACTTGCACATAAGCCAATCTGATGGAGACACTTCCTCAATTGAGATTCATTCTTCCCAAATACGTCTAGGTTTTTGACCAGTTGACAAAAAGTAACCAAACACTTCAAAGGCACAGAAAATGTTTTAGTGGGTGTTTTCTCTCTAGGCTTTAGGTTTTCTTGTTAATTTTAAAACACTTAGTTTATAATCTAAGCCCTCAGGAGGCTGAAGCAGGACAATCAGGAGTTCCAGGTTATTCTGGGCTATAGAGTCAGACTGTGGGGGTGGGGTGTGTGTGTTCCATTTGGTCAAAGATTATGTAAATGCTCTAAATCTGTTAAAATTTCAATTGCTAATTCGCATAAGGAGTTCTTTTTATAGACAACCAGCTGTTTTCTCCTAGAGAACCCTTCTTAATGGGGATGGGGCCACACCCAGGGCCTCCCCACGCTGACTGAGCAAGCACACCCCACCACTTAGTTAAACCCCAAGATCCACCATTTTTTAAATAAGGCAGCCATTCCCCATAAATTTTCAAATCTATTTCTGGGCTCCATTTCTGTTTTGATTTTTTTTCTCTCTTATTCATGACAATTTTTATTTTCAGGAATTACCTGGATATGGTAACTTTAAAAACTTGATTCAAAAAAGAAGCCAAATTGTCTACTTCCCTCTAATTTTGTCCCTTCTCACATCACTCCACCTCTCAAGGTAACCCCTGGCCTTGAACACGTTTCTTCTGCCTTGAATGATCAGACACTAAGACAAATTCCCACTCCCCTCTCCTACCCGACTCCCACAAATCTAAACTGAGTTCTCTCATTTCCTTATTTCAAAGCACCCTCTATATTTGAATGCTACTTTTAAAACTCATTTAACTTTTTATAGTTTTATATTTGAAGCAAAAATGATCAGGAGAAACAAGGATTTCTCATACGTTCCCTGTGCTCACTCTGTGACTTCATAGTTCACACTGTGATTTTTAGTTACTAATTGTTTGTAATTGTTGAATGCCTTTTTCCTCTAAAACTGAGTGACTAGTTCTCAGATGAACACAGCATTCCCACTAGATCCACCAGAGCAGAGCCTTAGATGCTGCGGTGGGTCAACGGCTCCCTTGCGGCTCTGTTTCTTTGCCGTCTAGATACTGGACAATTCGGAAAGTAGCACACGACCCAGGGAGCTCACCCGGGAACTCTGGAGCTTCTGGACAGTGTCTTTCATCTTCTCTTTCAAGTTCTTCACCTTCTCGGGAGAGTCCACAACTTTGCTTTTCAAGCTGTCTTGAACTTCTTTCAAAGAAGCCAATGACAGCTTTAGTTCATTCTGTTGAGACATTTTCACCGACCAGGTCAGACAACAAAATTGGTTACCACTGTTTGAATAATACAAGAGTGTAGGCTCACATCTGCTGCAACCAGGTAAAACTGAATTCTGACCACCCTGGCCTTCTTAATGGCTCTGGCTACAGACCAAGTTCTTTAATGTGACACTTAACACCCTCAGTGGCATCTCTGAGATCAGTGTGATCCTCCTAAGATACCACAGCATCCTGTTCCTAAGATTATCCATGGATCCTGGAAAACTCTCCTCCCAATTCCTCTACATCCCTTCCATAAGCAGCACAAGTACATACATACAACAGTAAAATTATGTATGTGGTGTGTTTTTATATTACCGAATGATCTGGCTGGAGTTCTAAAAAGTTACTTTTGTTCCTCTGGTACTCAAAGTAATGGTGCACATGCGTGTGAGAGTGAGTGTGTGAGTGTGTGTGTGTGTGTGTGTGTGTGTGTGTGTGTGTGCACGCACACGCGCATGTTTGTGTAATACAAGAGAACATGAAGAAGGTGAGGTCAGGCGACGTGAGCTAAGAAGTCTTCCTCTACACTTGAAATCTCTCCACATGTGGTTTCTAGTATTAAACGAGCTTAGTAGAAAAGGGTACTTGCTGCCCAGTCCAGTGACCTACCCACATGGTGGAGGAAGAGAAGGAACTCAGCAAGTTCTCTCCAACACCATGTCTTCCCTGCCTCCCGGAATAAATAACACACACGAGAGGACGCTAACATTAAAACTGTGACTAAACGTTTTAAAAATGAATATACATAAATACAGAGAACCTACTGTATGGAGATGGTCAAAAATCACTAGAATAAAAGAATGTAAATTAAAATGAGGTTTTCCCCATATAAGAGTGAGAAAAATTTTTTAAAAAACGCAAAAACTGAAAGCATTTATTTTTTAGCAAGAGTGTAGGGAGTGGACAAATCTATAATCTCTTGCTAAAAATAGAAATTAGACTCTTTAGTTTGGCAACATGAGCCAATTTTAAATGTGTATTTCCTTTCATTCCCACATCCTGAATTAGTGTTTTAGAGAGACTGGTGAACAAATGTCCACATTTACAGCACACACACAGCTACACCGATTAACAAAAAATCAGAATATGGAAGTCTATCAAAAGAGAGGAAGATGATGCATAATACAATACTTATACAGATGTCCAACCATAATTATTCAGTCGTTGAGATGAGAAGGAGCTACTTGAAGCTCCTGATAACATCTATACTACACTGCTTAGTGTGTGTGTGGCTGGGACTGTAAAATTACACAGATAGATGTATATTAAAAAATTACACAGAGAGATGTATATTAGAAAAATAATCAAATTATATAGCATACATACACATACATCAGATCATATGGTTAACTTTGGGTCCTTTATACTTTCTTCATACATTTCCATGTGTGATGATGTTGTTTGCTTCTTTTATGATAGTTTCTGTATTTAAGTTGAGAAACAAGGTGCCAGGTGGTACTGGTGGTGGCTTACGCCTTTAATCCCAGCACTTGGGAGGCACAGGCAAGTGGCTCTTTAAGTTCAAGGCCAGCGTGGGCTACAGAGCGAGTTCAAGGGCAGCCAGGGCTACAGAGAAAACCCTGTCTTGGAAAGTCTTTGAGGGGAAAGGATGACAGAGAACTACTGACAATCACACAGCTAAAACACTGCAGTATAGTCAAACTTTACATGCAAGGAAACAGAGAAGATCATACCAAACGCTTCGTTTTTTCTGAAATAGCTGATTTCTTTTGGGCAATTCCCTCTTGCAGCACTGCCTAAGAGTAAAAAACAATTGTGTTATAACGATTTGAAACACCAAATTTAAACCACTAGCTACTTCCTCATCCAATACAGGTAAGAAGAGGAGGAAGTGGGAGGATCAGACGGTGTCCACCTGTCTTTATTCAGAAAAAGGGCCTGAGAGCCCTTTCCTCAGGCCCAATGGTGAGTCCAGCTTAAGCACAAATGGATGAAGAAAGCCATGGATTGGGGAATCCCAAGCGCCCGGCCCGTCAGTGTGCCTGTGAGGGGATTCTGGAGACAGCTAGCTCATGAGGACTCTGCCCTAAGCAAACCCACTAAAGGACTGTTAGGGTCCGAGAGAAGCCCCCAAGAAAGACCAACAGTCATGAACAAAATTTAGCAAGAGCGTTCTGCTGGGATGGACCGAACCCTCTGAGACAGTGAGCCAAAAAATCAACCTTCCCCTTGTTTAATGTTAGTACTTTAGTAATGATATTGAAAAGCCAAACATACTAGAAAAATAAATAAATAAATAACTGCATAATCTGTCCTAGCACCTTTTTAAACAATAACTACTAACTCACTAGGTGTGTGTGGTATCTACTGAGCAGCACAAAAAATTCAGGCAACTTGGAGTCAGCCGAGACCTGAAAATGATCGTTTTCTCTCATTGATTTGCACGTTTTTTTAAAATCCTGACAAATCCACAAACCCCAGCTTCACAGAAATAAAGGGAAAGTAGCACAAGCTAACACTGAAGGTGGGACTAAGTACCTTGAGCTAGTGCAGGCTGGATGGAGAACACTACTGTCTGTCTTTCCCATACATACAGACATAAAGTGACCCAATGTCCCGTGAGCGTTCACTGCAGTGCCCAGGGGACCACAGCCTCACAGCACAGCTAACCAGAGACTACTCGAGAATTCTACGCATCCAGAATGCACAGAGCACTAGCACACAAACAGGCGCAGCCACACACGGCTTCTTCTGTAACCGAAAGCCATGTTTTCCCGGGCTGTGTACACCCACCGCGCATGTTCAAGGGTCCACACGTACCGTTTTCTGCCTAAACTCATGGTTCAGCAAGTGCTGCAGCTCTTGAATCTCATCCATAAGCTGCCTGAACTCTTCCTGCTCTTCAACTGGAACTGACCTAAATACAACAAAACAGATCAAAAAAAGAGTTTGTGTTTGCTTCAACTGGAAAGGTACAAATAAATCCTGTGTCTTTGATAACTAAGTAAAGGCTCTGAGTCCTTGTTTCTTAGTTATATATTTCAAGATAACCATTTAATACATGACTTTTATCTTCAACTGAAAGAAAAAATAATCAGATGAAAGCCTTCAGCCCCGCATGCACGTACCCATCCACTGTCACACCTACTAGAATGACCACAGCATTCCTCTCTTGTCCAGTGTTGATCTCCCTAACGCGGCCCTGGCTCTTGGCACCATACATTTTCCAGTACGGGACCAGCCACCCTCCTATGCCACCATCCTTTCCATCAGCACCTACATATCTGTGTTGAGTGGTCTGGTATGTCAACTTGACATAAGCTATAAAGTTATCAGAGGAAGGAGCCTCAGCTGAAGAAATGCCTCCTTGAGATCCAGCTCTAAGGCATTTTCTCATTTAATGATCAGTGGAGGAGGGCCCAGCCAATGGTGTGTGGTGCCATCCCTAGGCTGCTGGTCCTGGGTTCTAGAAGGCTGAGCAAGCCACAGAAAGCAAGCCAGTAAACAGCACACCTCCATGGCCTCTGCATCGGCTCCTGCATCCTGCCCTGTTAGAGTTCCAGTCCTGACCTCCTTCAGTGGTGAACAGCAGTACTGAAGTATAAGTCAAATAAACCCTTTCTCCTCCCCAACTTGCTCTTTGGTCAATGTGTTTCTTGCAGCAGTAGAAACCCAAAGGAAGACACTATCCAAAGTCTCTTCCACACAAAGGTCCAAGTTTACTTTAGACTATCTAAGACATTAGCCATTTATTTTGATTCGCCTTGGCCTGTGTTTCTACACAGCTAAGGTTTGTTTATCCTCTTGGTCTGTAAGAACTCTTCAGGCACTAACTAGGGCACAACATGAGCTCTGTCACCACCTTAGCGGGGCTTTGCATCATCTGCTGCAGACAGTCTCTCCCAGCTGTCATTGTTCTTATGATTTAGTTTGTGATTTTTTTATCGAGCTAAATTGTAATGCATGTCTCTCACTCTCAGTCTCTTAGTTTACTGTTGTCTATAAAGACAATTTTACCAGAGACCTTAAACAGACTACCTCAAAGGCATCAACAGACTAGAATCAAAGAAACCAAATCTACCTGCTCTCAATCAGTGCAGACAGCCACAGAGCACTTAACCTTACAATAGCAAAGATCAGTACACACTCAGGAGGAACTCTACTTCAAATTTTCATCTTTTTTAAAGCGAGCAACAGAGCTAAGCTGAGACTCCCGCTGTAGCTCCTGGGTGGAGAGTGAACAATCCCTCCACACAGGACAAGGCAGGACAGAGCTTTGCTGTGCCATCACAGCAGGTGGGGCAGGTGGACAAGGTACTAATGAGAAAGAAACAGAGATCTGTGTTCAGAAACAGGGACTGAAATGCCCTCCTTCCATTCCTCAGGAAGACAGTGAGACTTGGTTGGTGTGGACAGGGGCGCTGAAATCAACGACCCACCACTTGATCTGTCCCTGGCAACTGCCATCATCCTATTTGTAAAGCCCCCACTTACTCGAGTTTCTCCACTTTCATCGATGCTTCCTGGTGCGCACTCCTTAACTGCTGCATTTTGTCTGCAGAGGATTTCTGTGAATGCAATTTAACCTCATATTAGCATGTTTTAACAGACAAGACTGTATAAAAAAAAAAAAGAAAGAAAACTACAAAAACTGCAAATGATTTATTCACCATCAAAAAAAAAAAAAAAAAAATTTAGGGCCAGGCCCCTAAGAGCATTTGGTTAGCAACCATAAGAGCTTGAGTGAGGATTCTCAAAACCTACATAAAGGCTGGGCACGGTGCATGTGCCTGTAACCCTAGCACTAATGGACAAGCACTGGTGAATCTTGAGAGCCCTTGAGTCAGCCAGACTAGCCCAAATGACAAGCTTCTGGCCCACAGAGAGACCTTTTGACAGAGCAATAAGGTAGAGAGGCTAGTAGTATGACTGAGAAAGACACTTAATGTCCTGCTCTGGCCTCCACCCAATGGGCATGTACCCACACACTCAAGAGCAAGTACTACACACATACACCCAATACACAAAATAACAACAATAAGTTTAAGTGGGTAGGCATTTATGACAAATGAGTTGAGAACAGTTTTTCTCTCCTTTTCAAATTGCTGGGGCATGCCCATGCTAGGGATAACCTCTGAGCAGTATTCCCAAGAATTTCTTTACCTAACACAAATGTTGCTAGACACATTCTCAACATGGCTAGACATGTGTTAGATGATGATAATTTTCAAGAAAAGCATCTTTTTGGTCCTAAGCATATGTCTATCTCTTTGAGCCACAGTCATGAATGAAAAGCTATGAAACAACTAACTAAAGCAGTGAATGTAACAGAAACAGAGACCACGATACCCATCCCAACACAGGCAATGCCAGGAAGGGCAGTCATTCAGGTTCCTTAAAAATGAAATGTCTGTGTTGTGTGTCTTTAAAAAATAAGAGTGAACGGGCAAACAAAAGTGTGTGAGTGTATGTGCAATCGAGTGTATGCATGCTTTGGAGAGTCTTCAGATTCAGGAATGTAAGCTTACCTTGACTTGAACTAAGAAGTTTTTATCCAGTTTCATGTAGCTGAATCTCAAATCTAAGTGTTTTATGTTACCCTGGTACTAAGAGTCCAGCACTTGCACACTACAAGCAATGGGAATGAATCCCCCAATAATAGTCCATAATCTTCACAAAGGATATCAGTTGTGCAATGAAAAAAACACCCGTCTGTTAAAGTGATGGTGTTGAAGGCTAGGCAGGAAGACTAAAATAGACAGTCCAACTTGGCCTTGCTTAAAAAGCAAACGTATTTCAAATATCTCAGTTATTTGAAGAACACTATGCATCTTCGCAAACGTCAAGAAAAAAAACAATTTTTTAACATAGGGAGTAATGTCTCAACTACAACATTAAAGTAAAACTCTATCTTCTTTGTTATCAAGAATATATCATTTCAAAATATCATCCCAAAGCTAAACTTTGTATAAATATAAAACCAAATTTAATTCTAACAATGATCCAAGAACTGGACCTGTGACAAAATTTCAAAGCAGATTAATAATTCAAACATGAGATTGCTGATCTGATGTGTACATATCTAACAAACATACTTAAATCTTACATTTTCCAAAAGAAATTCTGCATACGTCTCCTGGCATGCTTCTCTGAAGTGAATAAAGTTGATAATGGCACTCAAAAACCGCATTGTCCGTTTGCCTTCTAAAATAGAAAACAACACTCTAATCCGTTGAAACAACAGAACGCAAAAACGTATCATTTTTCACCATATGACTTGGCTCACAGCATGTAAAACTTAGCCTTTAATGAGGTGCAAAACATCTGTTTTAACTTAGACTGCAATTACCTTTGTGTTTACAAAGGAGGAGAGCATTTGCCCTTAACAGAGAATGCATGGGTCTTATAGAGGCAAGAAGATAAGGTTTGGGAGTTGGAGAGGCCAGAGCAACTAGAATTGGTGAGACTAAGAACTTCAGGACAGAGGCTGTGGAGAGTTAAAGGGTTCTGGAGGTCCTTAAAGAAGCTGGTTCTAATCAACCAGTATGTGGACACAAGAAACAACTAGGCTAAAAGAAGAACCAGAAATAAAGTGATAAACGAAAGCATCAGTATGGCATAAGATGGCATACAATTTGTAACCTAAAAAAACCCAAAAAGCAAAACCAGAAATATAATCAATCTATAAAAAGAAAAAAAAATAACAAAATACCTTGAAACTGCGCCAATGACAAATACAGCAAAAATGGGTCACGAAAATGTCTCATTTGTTCAAGAACAAAGTCTTATGAAGAAGATAAGAGACCGTTCCTAAACATACCCAACTCCAAATCTAAGACATGAAACAGAAGGTATCTGAACTAAGAATTGTGCCGGAACGGATTAGCAAAGCACGTTAGTTTGACCTAGAGATGAAAGTTAGTGGAGCAGAAGACATGGCCATAGAAGCTCCTGAGATGAAGGCCACAGGAGAGCAGCCGCCGCCACCTATGAGCAGAGGCAGGACAGACAGCATCCCACGTCTGTGATGAAATTCCACAGAAAGGAAGAACAAAAGCTACTTTTCGCCTAACAGGAGAGTAAGGTCCAAATCTTATGAAAACTATAAACAGTGAATAAGTCTAAACTGGAAATCAAAACAACAAAAATTCCCCAGAACCCCACAATACATTCAAGTAGCTAAGTAGTAATAAAGTTGAAAAGCAAAGACAAGAAAATAAAACAGACACATTAAATGGAATAAAGATAAGAGTGGATTTGCTTATCAGGAACAAGGGAATCCAGAATATAATGCAGCAATAAATCTTTTTCTTTCCTGTATCTTCAAAAGTTTGTTATTGGTCTTCTCTGTAAATACTGTCTTCAACAGCATCAGCATGCCTTTAAAGCACTGGAAACACTATCAACTTAGAATTCAATAACTAAGAAAATTAGCTTTTAAAACTGAAGGTGAAGCAGGCATGTCAGGACAAGCCAGGAATCCAACACTCATGGTACCTAGACCAGAGGATTTTAATTTCTAGGCTATATAGTAAGACATTGTCTATATAAACAACAAAACAAGGAGCCCAACAGATGGCTCAGGAGCCAAGGACACTTGCTGCTCTTGCAGAGGACCTAAGTTTGGCTCCCAGTATACCCATATGCTACTCACAACCACGTGTAATCCCAGCTCCAGGGATCCAACAACTTCTGGCCTCCACAGGCACTAGGCATGTACTTGGTACACATCATACATAAAGGCAAAACACACACCAATACACATAAATAAATCTTTTAAAAGCTATTTTTTAAAAATCCAGTTGCCAAAATGAGACAAGAAATGGAGAATATGGAAATACATAAATATTATAAGGAAGAAAAAAAGATTAAAGGTAAATTTAAGCCTGATCATATTTATTATATAATAAATTTATTATAATTTGTTATTACATTAAATACAAATGAGCTAAATACTCCAATTAAAAGGCAGTGAGGATGAAAAGAATAAACTCACAAAAGATTTCAATATCTGTCTTAATCATTCAACACAACAACTGAAAGAAAATCTGAAAGAACATTAAAACCAACTGGTCCAAACTCGTGGATTGCTCTACCCAGTGAGGAAATGCAAATGCGTGCTGTGCAACAAACACTGCAGGCCATGTGGATGCACATGCAGGTCCCCAGACTTGGAACCTGTGCATGCTATTAAAGTAATACATCATAGGACTTCCAGGACACTGGCAGATTATGACACTGTGTCCTCCTGGTATGACGTGCTGCAGTGAGTAACAAGAGTCAGGATAACAAAGACTAGATTACGACAGGCGGATCTCTGTGAGTTCGAGGCCAGCCTGGTCTACAGAGTGAGTTCCAGTATAGGCTCCAAAACTATACAGAGAAACCCTGTCTTGAACAAAAAAAGAAAAAGAAAAAAGGGGAACTGTGGTGGTATTTTACTTGTACTGAAATGTGATTTTAATTGTATGTTAATAAATAAAGTTGTCTGGGGGTCAGAGCTATTAGAGTCATAGCAAGTGCATGGCGGCGGTGGCGCACGCCTTTAAGGACCTGGAGGGCGGTACATTCAGGCAGTGACGAGGCAGTCACATGTTTGGGTTTACAACCAATGAGAAGGCAGAACAGGAAGACTTTAAAGACAGACACACAGGAAGTAGGTCTTTTTCGGAGAGCTCTCTTGGCTGGAGAGGATCCCTGAATCAGGAAGGGTGAGGCTCTTAGCTCTGACCTCTTGGCTTTCTTCTCTGAATTGGCTCTGTGTTTCTTATTTTATAAGACCGTTGATTACATCTACATTTGGCGCCCAACGTGACAAGAATCCATTAAAAACCGCTTAACTTGGCTTGGCGGCAGGTCCGGTCTCCCGCCAGGGCGGCCGGCAGGTCTGGTCTCCCGCCAGGGCGGCCGGCAGGTCCTGTTTTCCGCCAGGGCAGCCGGCTCCCTAGCCCGGGCCCAGGTCGGCTTGGCCTCAGGCCGGACTAACTTTGAGCTACTTGCTTAAAGCCGGTGCTACAGACAATTCAGGCCTGCCCTGCCGAACAGGGCCCCTGCCTGTAAAGCCAACACACGTGGTTGGAGCTTAAGGTAGCCAGAGCCAAGGCTTGACTAGGCTCAAGCGGGAACACGTGGCTGGATTCAAGTTCTTAGGCAGAACTTGTGGCTACGGTTCTTGCGTGTTTTCTCTCTCTCTCTCTCTCTCTCTCTCTCTCTCTCTCTCTCTCTGGATTCACACCTCGGACACTAGGAGGCTGTTTTGAAATTCCCTTGGATTGGTACTGTTCTACGAGGACTTGGTAAGTCATTTAACATATCGAATATTTTAAAGGACACTATTTAAAAGAGAAATTTTTTCCACATTTAAAAAAAATGGGTTTTCTGTGTTCATTGGAAGAAAATTGGGCTTTGTTTGCAATTTTAGACAGTCTGACGATGGAACAGCTATATGAGAAGATTAATGTTGACCGAATTATGCTTTTTATTACTATGCTTATTCTCATTTTACAATTTAAAAAGATAATCAATTTAAGTGCCAGGATGACAGCTTTAGAAAAACTTGATAAACCTGTAAAAACTCAGACAGAAGAAACTAACAGTGAAGTTGCTTCAAGATTGGATCATAGGGTTACAGAAAGAAAGCCTGTGTTCACACAGTCACCCTTAGTTTGTCCAGTAACCATACAGCAGTTGCCTGATCAAATGACTACACAAAATATTTGGGCTCCAATTGAAATGTTAGATTTACGAAGGTTTAAGGAGGCAATAGTATCTTATGGCATGCATTCCCCGTATGTAAAGCAAATGTTAAACTCTTGGTCAACATATAATAGGATTGTACCACAGGATTGGCGGGAGCTGGCACAAGCTGTTCTTGAACCCAGTCAAAGGTTTCAGTGGCTAACTTGGTTCAAGGATGAAGCTAAAAACATAGAAAAACAGTGGAGGGATAAAGGAATACAAGTCTGCCAGGATCAGCTTATTGGAGAAGGTCAATATGCTTCAGCACAAGCACAATGATTATATGATGTCCAAACCCTAATTTTATGTCGAACAGCAGCCTTGAATGCATGGGACAGAGTTGAGGAACCAGGAAAAAAAACTGAGTCATTTACAAAGGTTGTACAAGGCCCAAAAGAATCTTTCACAGATTTTTTTACAAAGACTGGCTTCAGCAGTAAAGAGAATGGTCCCGGATTCAGAAGCTAGTAAGATAATAATTGAAACTTTGGCCTTTGAGAATGCGAATGCCGCATGCAAAACAATAATCAGGCCATTAAAGGCAAGATCTGCACCTTTGGAAGATTGGATTAGAGACACGGTTAATGTTGAAGCTCATGAGCATGATGATACGTGGGTAGGAGAAGCAATTTCAAGAGGTTTGAGGAATGTTAGATGTTTTGGATGTGGAAAGCAAGGACATTTGAAAAGGGACTGTAAACAGGTCATTCCTAGAAACAATGTTTCTTCAAGGAACAATGGCAACAGACTGCCCCTTCCTTCTGGAGTATGCAGAAGGTGTGGTAAGGGAAAACACTGGACCAACGAATGTAGATCAACAAGGGACAGACAGGGTAATCCTTTGCCTCAGTCTTCGGGAAACTCCCAGAGGGGCCTCATGCAGGCCCCAATAGCAAATCCAGTTCAAACCTTTCCTGCAGTCGTAGAGGAAACTCCTACTCAGAGCAATTAAATAACCAAATGCCTATTGGAATAAGTCATGCTGGTCAGGATGATGAAACAGAGAGAATAGAAAATTCAGGAGAAAACATAAAGAAAATTTTTTGGCAAACTTCTATTAATGAACAAAGACCAAAATTATCCATAAAAATAAATGGTGTTTTGTTGTCTGGTCTGGTAGACACAGGTGCGGACGTTACCATAATTGCACCGGAATTTTGGCATCCAACTTGGCCTCTTCAGGAGGTAAACATTCAACTGTTAGGAATTGGGACATTATCTCAGGTGAAACAGAGTGCAAGATGGCTCGAATGTATAGGTCCAGAAGGACAGAGAGGAAAATTAAAACCATATGTGGCTAACATAGCTATGAACCTGTGGGGTCGAGACTTGTTACAACAATGGAATACTCAGATTAACATCCCTCCAATCTCAGAAACAAATCATAAACTAGCACATGTTTCTGAGAGAAATATTAGAAGGCATTATTCTGAGTGGTCACCAGCCATCCATATTATACAGGAACA